TATGCTCAACATTTAGTGAATTCCCACAATTTTTATATATGCACAACATTTAGAGAATTCCCACAATTTTTATATATGCACAACATTTAGTGAATTCCCACAATTTTTAATTGGTCCATAGTTTTGTCACAACCAACCAAAGACACAAGTTTTCTTTGATATTATTGGCAAACATTATATATACATATATAATGAAAATTTTAAAAGTACATTTAAAAATATTAGTAAAAGGAAATTTTTTTTTGTAATGCAACCAATTTTGATTTGATCTAAATTACGTAGTGTATTGATTTTTTTTCTTTTAATTCTAACTCAATTTCTTGAATAGGACTCATTGGGGTATGAGGTCATGCATTTAATTATAAACATATTTTCTTTATGATCAATTGTCATGGTGCTAATCTATTACTATTTTCTTAATAATGTGAATATAAACATAGGGGGTTACAAAAAAGTTAGGTACATCGATGGGTAACTCACCCTTAAAAAAGGTCGGATATTGACATGTTGTATCAAATACAAATAGGTATCAAACTCTTATTCATGCATGAATCATGATTATGAAAATTAAAAAATAGGGATGATCATGGAAACACATTGGGATTGAACCCTAATAGTAAGTATGTAGTAGTATCCCTTGCAATTTTTCAAGATAAAGTTTATATAACATTATTTTTTATCAAATATATTCACATGATACATATACATTTGGACAAGGATTACTGGGTTTCCTACAAAGGGTAAGAAGAAAAGCTAATAATTCTATAACACGTTCAAGGGTTCCATATATATATAATATAATATAATATAAAATTATATTTGTACGATAACACTAATTTGTGACAGCCATATATATGTCTATTCCGGCCCGGAGAGGTTCACGAGATTTTTTGTTTTTTGTTTTTTTAAAGAAAAGGTGAGAGAGTTACTTTAGATCCAAATCAGAGCCCCCTCATATTCTCCCCCAGCCCCAGCAAACAGCAAAGAGATTTCACTCCATCTCTTGGAAAACCAAACGACTCTTCTCTCTCTTCACTAGAGAAGAAAACAAGATGGAACTTCAAACGCTTTCATCAATCTCACTATTAACCTCCTTCCCTTTGCAATACTACAGCCACTGCAAGTCTACACCAAAATCTCTATCATTATTCACTATTCAGTAAGTTTTCTTTTTCATTTTCTCTAGATCTTGTTCATGTATAATTGGGCAATTGAATTTGTTTACTTGTCTACCCAATTAGAAAGGAATATTGAAGAGGTGAGTGTCATCAATTTGTTTTGCACATGTCATCAATTTGGTTGTGAGAGATGGAATTGAAGAGGTGAAGACAACCATCAAGCGTCTTCGTCGAAGTGTTAAGTATGTGAGGAGTAGTTCATCTGCTTTTAGTACAGCTGGAAGAGTTCTTGACCCATTTCGAAGTTCCTTAACACCAAATATCGTGGAGGCTTTGGTGTGTACCCAAGATTGGTTAAGATATTCCAAACAAGAGTGTGGGAGTGTTGAAGAACAACTTGAAGAGCTTGAGGAAATTGAAATTGGTATGTAACATCTGACTTTAAATTATTTACAGCTCTTAAATTGCTTTTTTTTAATTATAGTATTGATTTTATGCTTGTTGCAGTTGTAAGCCAAGAGTTGGAAAATCTATCACGTGAATGAATGGAACTAAATATGAAGGTATGGAGTTCTTTAGTTTAGTTTTGTATAAATATGTATATATTTTTTTTCATATTTTTTTATGTTTTCTATTATCCTTAAAGGAAAATCACTATTCTCTTCATGTGCCCTTATTAATTCATATTTTTGTTGTTTATTTTGTTTTGCAGCTTCTTTTATTGAGAAATTATTTCAAGGAATTGAAGATGGTGTGCTTTTGAATTTGGAGAGGTGAGTGTTGATTTTTGTTCAAATAAATACTATTACTGTAACATTACCCCTCTTTAAATAACATCATAGAACTTCCCATCACACATGAATGTATGATACTTCTAGTTAATAATTACACCAATAGATCTATATGCTTTGAGATTCATCATTTTAGTTCATGACTTGCAGCTGATTTCTTCCTTCCTGACTTCTATTCCTTCCATTCCATATATATTTTTCATATCCTGTAGCAGATACAACTTGTATCACTCTTGTACAGTCAAAGGTTTAAGGAGAGGCATTTTCTAACTAGAACTAGCACTCTTATGTTCCTTCCATTTTCTGCAGGTTGGCATATTCGTGATTTCAGCAATGGTGTTGCGAAACATGATGTATTGAGTAGCTTACTTCCAGTGATGAGTTGAATTTGAATGTATTATGGATCTATGTTAAATGTTGTAGTTTTCATTTTCTGTTTTTATTGTGGACTAGTTTAAATTTGAACATTATGTCATTTGAACGTAAACATTGGAATTCTTATGGATTTTTTTTTCCTTTTTGGTTGGCTTAATCATGATTCACAAGAAAATTTCAAAATTTGATTTCCGAAATTTTTATCCGAAAATGCCGAAATTATTATCCGAAAATTCCGAAAATATTAACTTCCGAAAATTCCGATAATGCCGAAAATTCCACATCGGAATAGAGTTAGTATATTCCGAAATTTCGGAATCGGAATCGGAACTAAAAGATAATTCCGAAAAATTTCGGAACGGAATTCGGAACAGTGGTTTCCGATCCGTTCCGGCCGAAAAACACCCCTATGCTACGTAGATTCTGGCTAGAACCTCCGATATACATATACTTTCAAAGTACTGCAGAATGTATACTGAGAAGTCCCACTGGGCGTGCCAAATTGTTCACCCGTTTTGATTTGTTTCCTGAGATGAAAGGGTAAAGTTCCCCATTAGTCCAAAAACCATTGTTTGGTTATTGAACTAACTTTCTTTGTGTGTCGAGCGTGCCACTGTTAGCAATTTTTCAATTCTAACATACTTGAAAGAGAATAACTTGCGCCCCAAGCTATTGACTTTGAACAAACGATTGTGAATTTGGGTGAGGAATATCTCCCAACTAAGTTCTTTTCTATGCCTTAGACTGGTAAGGACTTCACAATTTATCTCAGTATAAAAATCGGTAGTTCTGGCCAGAATGGATGACGACAGAATGGATTGATTTCAGACAGAACTCCCTTATTACAGACAGAACTCACTTGTTTCAGGCAGAACTCCCTTGTTTCAGGCAGAACTCCTTTTTACAAGACTCAACAAGGAAAAACTGACTATATAAAGGCGAAAAGGAGGGCTGCGCTTCCATTTCTGCCTGGATAGTTGTCACTGTTCTTGGCTGGACTGGATGTGCTTGTGCTGGACTGGACTTTAAACAGCTTTTACTGAAGAGTTTTGGCTGCAAATCGATACCAAAGCTTGAGTTTGGCAGAGCTTTAATCTATTTCAAGCCCTAGGAGGCTTTTGGATGGGGCAGAACTGGGATTTATCCAGTCTGAAGGGGGCAGAAGTGGCTGGACTTGAGCTGGAAGCTGTACTGGGACCCCTGTGCTGCTTCAGTCAGAGCTTTTCATAAATTTGTTGAGGTTTTCGTATTTGAGAAAACTCAAACTCTGCTTGTCTTTGGCATTTGCTAAACCAAGTTTGTAACTGGAGAAGTCTCGTTGTTTCTGTCTTGTGAACAAGATGATTCTGCAAGCTTGCTAGGAAGCTTCTGAGATTGGAATGCTTCAGACTTTGAGTCTGTTTGGAAATCTGCTTGTGATCAAGTGATCATTTTGAGTGTTTGTCTTTTGACTGAGTTTTTTGGTTGTTTTTTGTTTGATTGATTGTTGGGTCCCGGTTCTCTGCTCACCCCCTCTCATATATATATGAAATGTCCTTTGAGAGTGGGCGGCAAGTAATCAAAAGATCTTTCTAATTTTTAATTTAAATAAACAGGAGTTCCATCCATTTTCTGGCAAGTGAGCACTCAACGAACAGTCCCCGAAGTATTTTTGATGGGGTGCCATGCCTTTCTTCCATTTAAATTGCTTTTGTAAGAGTCTGAAATTTGATATGGTAAGTTCTCAGTTTTGAACAGCTCCCTGTTTCCCGCTTATCTTCCTTTTACAGAGTCCGAGTCTGCTTATCCTTCGAGCATGGTGTTTTCCTTCAAAAATAACAGATTATCTTCAGATAATCTAAGCGAAATTTGTTCCTTTTCTTTCAGAGGCGCTCTTCTTTATTCCTGCCTCTGTTCAGACTTCATCTCGAGCCGATTTCCTTGACTTTTCTAAGTCAGGGTCACGTGGGTATGTTTATTTTTAATCCAAATCGTCAAGCCCACTTCTTCTTTCGGCTGTTTTGGCTTCCATTGCGGCCCAGGTTTCTTAAAGTCTGATGGGCTGGAAATGTTTTTGTTTAAAAACAAGCGGCCCAGAAAATGTCGTGGGCTTTCTGGGTGCGCCAATTTTAAGCCCAAACAATGCCCCCATTAAGTCTGAATCGTTTTTTGAACGGTTTTAGACTTAATGATTTCGCATTAAATTGTGCGCGCCGAAATAAAACGTCCCCTGTCTGCCACGTCTGTCCATCATGAACTAGACTTCGTGGGAAACTGTTCAGTTACTAGCTAGTTACGGGCTGGTCACTGTTCAGTTTCTTTCAAAGTTCACCGATGTACAACCACCACCATTGCCGATCGATCAGCCGGAGATGAGCACGGAGAAGAAGATACGAACTAACCTTCCACTTTGGATTCTACATGTTGATGGTGCCTCAAATCAACAAGGAAGTGGGGCAGGGTTAGTATTAACCTCGCCAGAAGACGAGGAGACCCAGTATGCCTTACGGTTTGGGTTCAAGGCCTCGAATATTGAAGCTAAGTATGAGGCACTCCTTGCAGGACTTTGCCCAAGAAAAATGGCTATTTGCGACAAACAATTGCAACAGAGGAAGCGGCCCTCGCAAGTGCATTAATATTTGCGCGCTAGTGATTAGCGCTATAATATTTACGACACTCCAATAAGTAACGTCGCATGTAATGTCGTAAATAGGTTTGGATAGACCTACATACACGACGCATCTTCCCTGCTGATAACCCTTAGCCCCAAACAAATTACCCAAAATCAAAAAATCGCAGAGATTGTGAGATCGGCTATCTCTTTCTCCTTCTCCTCTCTTCCCTCTCCTCTCCTCCCCTCTCCTCTCCTCTCCATCTTGACCGGCTAACATCCCTCTCATCTCCTCCCTCTCCATCCCTTTATCAGCCTCTTTATCTGGGTTCTGTAATTTATTTTTCTTTAATTTTCACTACTCCCTCTCTCTCTCTCTCTCTCTCTCTCTCTCTCTCTCTCTCTCTCTCTCGAACTCCCCCTCTTTTTCTCTGCCCTCTCAAGTTTCTCTCCTCTCAAACTCCATCTCCGCCTTGCTCTCTCTCTCTCTCTCTCGCTCTCGCTCTCTCGAACTTCATACCTATGTGTTGGTCCTCCCGCCGTTCTCTCAGTTGGAAACGCCCAAAATCCCCCTATTTCTAGAACACCCAAACCCTAAGATCTGAGATCTATTTGAAATGGTAATGTATTTTCGAATTTTCAAAACTTTCATATTATTTGTTGTATTTACTTAGTGTTTGATTTGTTTGGGATTTTAGGGTTTGATTTTCTGGTTTCCGCATATGGGCTCCTCTCTCTGTGAGCAGGTAAGACTACTCTTTCTCTGTTTTGAAAAAAAATGTAAATTGGTTCGGTTCCTTAGTGAGTTTTTTTTTTTTTTTTTTTTTTTTTTTTTTTTTCTGGTTTCTGGTTTCTCTTTTCAGTAATAGGTGGAATGCATTACCTGTTGAACCGCGAGATGGAATGAAAAATTATATCTCTGACGTCATTGTTCAGGTATGAGTCATGAAGTAAATCTTTGAGGAGGGGAAGGTTTGCTAGTGTTAAATCTTGTTTGATGGTTTTTTCACGGGCTTTATATTCTTTCTTACGTTTTGTTCCTCTTGCGAAGCAATCAAGTAATGAGGCCTCTTTTCGAATGGAGAGACTGTATGTCAACAAACTCAATATTATATTGGTTCAGGTATTTCCTTGCTTCCCTCCCCATGAGGATCATTGCCTTTGTTGCTTGTTTTTTGGGGTTAATTGTTTGTACCATGCACTGTGTTTACTTTTCCATTATTCCATTGATTCTTTTCACTTCGATTGTATTTACAGTTGTCTCAGAAAATCTGTGTATTTGAATTTATCTTGGTCTATTAAAATCTGAAATTGTTTCCTTTGGTAGCTTTGGATATTTAATATATTGAGGTTACTTCATATACAGATTTTGAAGCATGATTGGCCTGCTAGATGGCGAAGCTTTATACCGGATCTCGTTTCAGCAGCTAAAACTAGTGAAACAATTTGTGAGAATTGTATGGCCATATTGAAAGTAAGCCTTTTTAATTTTCAACTTTTTCAAAGATAGAAATCAACTCATTGAGTAGCTACTAATTGCTTGAATGTGTTACCCTCAGCTTCTAAGTGAAGAGGTTTTTGACTTCTCAAGGGGGGAAATGACTCAGCTGAAGATTAAAGAGCTTAAACAATCATTGAACAGGTAATTGGTTGATGACTTTGGTTTTGATTATGTTTTCCAGTTAGGTATTGTTTTGATTTTGATTTTGGATTTGCAGGTATTCCAACTAGCAGCCCATCCACCCTTCCCAGCAACTCAAATGGGTAAAATTTTGTTTTGCTTTCTTTTTTTTCTTTCTTAGATTCATCTCTCCGTCTCTGTTTTTCATTTTGGTGAATGGTTGGAGATGGTTTTGTGATGGTTTTGTGATCTTTTTTTCTTTACAATGATGACTTTGTTATTGTTTTTCTTATTAGCAATTGCTTTATGTTTCCCATTCATTTTATTGATGGTTTTGTGATTGTTTTTCAGGTTGGGGTAAAGAATTAGGCCAAGTACAAGACTAATATACTATTTTGGAGTCTATTTATTTGGCTACTTGAATTTGTAATATTTTCATTCTATCTGGAGATGGTTATTTTTTATACATAATGACTTGAGATTTTAAATTTATAATTATTGGTTCTGTCAAGTGAATGTATTGAACAATATATACTTTCAATTACATGTTTATGTTGGCTTTTTGAAAGAAGTTTACGTTGGCTTCGATGAGGATATAGTATCATTGAGAATAATCTTTTAAACTAAATTTGACTGTTATATCGTAGTTTATATTCCAATTAAAACATCCCATTAGCATTGTGAATGGGCATGTAAATTAAGATGCAGTGTTTACAATATTAAATAATAATAAAAATATAATTTGGACTGAAAAGTCATTTCATTATGAACTTTTGTGACAGGAACTAGCGTCGCAAACTCTGTCATAAAACCCCAATTTAAATCCAACGGTAGTTTATTGCGATACTAGTTTGCCGTCGCAAGACTGACACAAATAGGTATTACGACGGCTTTAAAGCGTCGCAAAAAGACCCGAATTATTTACGACGCCTTTTATTGCGACGCGTCCAAAAACGTCGCAATGCCGTCGCGAATCATCTTTTACGACGTTTTTTCCACTTTTTGCGACACATTTTGACTGTCGTGAAAAGCCATTTTTCTTGTAGTCTCCGAGCTAGGTGTTAAGCAGCTCCGCATATTCAGCGACTCCCAGCTGGTAATAAATCATGTCACTGAGGAATACCAAGCTCGATATGAAAGCATGATTGCCTACCTAGCCAAGGTCAAGAAGTTGTTCGATGATTTAGTTGGTTATGAAATCATTCAAATCCCTCAACTCGAGAATACAAAAGCTGACTCCCTTGCTCGATTAGCATCTTCTTTTGATATCGACCTAGGGAGATCTATCCCGATGGAATTCTTGGAGAAACCTAGCATAGAGGAAGATTGCGTGGAAGTGTTCCCTATTGGTTCCGAGTCAACTTGGATGGATCCAATACATGATTATCTAGCTCATGGAGTCCTACCTGAAGATAAGGTAGTACGATATAGGTCATCCCGATATCTGATCATCAACAACAAGTTATATAAAAGAGGTTTCTCTTTGTCATACCTACGATGCCTGACACCTGATGAGGCTAACTATGTACTTCGTGAGATCCACGAAGGTGTTTGTGGAAATGACTTAGGCACTCAATCCCTTGCCCACAAAGCTCTCAAACAAGGATATTATTGGCCAACGCTCCAAGCTGATGCCAAGAAGATTGCTCAAACATGTCCTAAGTGCCAAGAATACGTGGTGGTTCCCCATCAACCACCAGAAAATTTGACCCCAATTAGTAGTCCTTAGCCCTTTGCTCAATGGGGAATTGACCTAATTGGACCTATGCCAAAGGGAAAAGGTCAGACCAAGTTTGCAACTGTTGCCGTAGACTATTTCAATAAATGGGCTGAGGCTGAACCCTTAGCTACAATAACTGAGAAGAACTGCACCGCGTTTCTTTGGAAGAACTTCATATGTCGATTTGGTATCCCACACTCCATAGTTACCAATAATGGTAAGCAATTTGATAATGCCAAGCTTCGTGAGTTATGTGCCGAGCTCAACATCAAACATTTCTTTGCATCTCCAGCTCATCCTCAAGCTAATGGCCAAGTTGAAGCAATCAATAAGTTGATAAAAAAGAACTTGAAAACAAGGCTAGACAAGGCTAAAGGGGCATGGGCTGAACTATTACCCCAAGTCCTTTGGGCGTACAGAACTTCACACTGAACATCCACGGGAGACACCCCGTATGCCCTTGCTTTTGGAGCCGAAGCTGTAGTGCCTGTCGAGATTGGAATGGCTACCCACAGAGTGGAAGTGTTCCAGGCTGAAGCCAATGACGACCAGATGAATCTTAACCTGGACTTAGTAGATGAACGACGGGACCAGGCTCAGCTGCACAACGCCTCTTACCAGCAATGTGTAGCTCGCTACTACAACTCTCGTGTCAAACACCGAGCGTTCCAGGTGGGTGACCTAGTACTTCGCAAGGTCATGCTGGCTACTCGCAAACCTTCAGATGGAAGCTTGGGACCGACCTGGGAAGGGCCTTACCTTGTCGTTGACATTGTACGCCCGGGCACCTACTGACTAAGGGATCTCAAGGGAGCAAATTTGCCTCATCCTTGGAACGACGAGCATTTAAAGAAGTATTACCAGAGACTTCCTCATTGTCTACATGCTATCAGAGTTAGATCATCAGTTTGAGATTTATATTTTACTTTTTCTCTTCATTCAGTGTGGAACTATCTTGTTATGATAGTTCATGAAGTAGTTTTTTAGTTCTTCAATTTAGTCAGCCAGCATTCTAGCTCGCTCTTGTTTTGTTTTCAACTTTTTGGTTAGTGAATGAAATTTGGATTCCTTTTCCAATGCATTGTCTCTCCAAGCCTTAACAATGTGACTCAAAGTGCCACATTCAAATCAAGAAGGAAAGGTCCAAGCTATATTTTTATCAAGCTCATATGGACGAAAGGTCCGAGCTATATTTTTTATCAAGCTCTGGTGGACGAAGGGTCCGAGCTATATTTTTACCAAGCTTTGACGGATGAAAAGCTCTGAGCCCAACCTTTTCCGAGCTCATACTTAGGTTGGCAAAGAGCCAACCTCAGCTCACCAAGCTTATGGTCAGGTTGGTGAAGAATCCACCTCGCCATGCCAAGCTCATGACGAGGTCGGCAAAGAGCCCACCTTGCCACGCCAAGCTCATGGTCAGGTTAGTAAATGGTCAAGTTGGCGAAGAATCCACCTCGTCATGCCAAGCTCATGACAAGGTCGGCAAAGAGCCCACCTTGCCACGCCAAGCTCATGGTCAGGTTGGTAAATGGTCAAGTTGGCGAAGAACCCACCTCGCCATGCCAAGCTCATGACGAGGTCGTCAAAGAGCCCACCTTGCCACTCCAAGCTCATGGTCAGGTTGGCGAAGAATCCACCTCACCATGCCAAGCTCATGACGAGGTCGGCAAAGAGCCCACCTGGCCACGCCAAGCTCAAGGTCAGGTTGGCGAAGAATCCACCTCGCCATGCTAAGCTCATGACGAGGTCGGCAAAGAGCCCACCTGGCCACGCCAAGCTCAAGGTCAGGTTGGCGAAGAATCCACCTCGCCATGCTAAGCTCATGACGAGGTCGGCAAAGAGCCCACCTTGCCACGCCAAGCTCATGGTCAGGTTGGTAAATGGTCAGGTTGGCCAAGTAGGTTTTTATCCAGCTCATATGGACGAAAGGTCCGAGCTATATTTTTATCAAACTCATATGGACGAAAGGTCCGAGCTATATTTTTTATCAAGCTCTGATGGACGAAGGGTCCGAGCTATATTTCTTATCAAGCTCTGATAGACGAAAGGTCTGAGCTATATTTTTATCAAGCTCATATGGACGAAAGGTCCGAGCTATATTTTTATCAAGCTCATATGGACGAAAGGTCCGAGCTATATTTTTTTATCAAGCTCTGATGGACGAAAGGTCCGAGCTATATTTTTATCGAGCTCCGGACGAAGAGTCCGAGCTATATTTTTTATCGAGCTCATAAAGACGAAAGGTCTAAGCTCAATTTTGGCCAAGCTCATATGGACGAAAGGTCCGAGCTATATTTTTTATCAAGCTCTAGTGGACGAAGGGTCCGAACTATATTTTTATCAAGCTTTGACGGATGACAAGCTCTGAGCTCAACCTTTTCCGAGCTCATACTTAGGTTGTCAAAGAGCCAACCTTAGCTCACCACGCTCATGGTCAGGTTGGTGAGGAACCCATCTCGCCATGCCAGGCTCATGGTGAGGTTGGTGAGGAGCCCACCCTGCCACTAACCAAGTCCTTTTGCCAAGCTCGTTTTTAATGGGAACTTGGGGGACTCCTGGTGCCGATCTATGACATGGGGGAATATTAAAAAATTATTTTATATTGCTAGCTCGGCCAATTATTAAAATACAACTCCCCACACAAAAATCTCTTGTCTGGGAGTTAGTTGACCTTCCGCCTGGGCGCAAGACCGTTGGAAACAAATGGGTCTTGAAAATCAAACGCAAAGCGGACGGTTCAATTGACAAGTACAAGGCACGTCTTGTGGCGAAAGGCTATACTCAAAGAGAGGGTATAGACTATGATGATACTTTCTCCCCTGTGGTGAGATTTGCATCTATTCGCCTAATCCTAGCTATTGTCGCACAAAAGGATTTGAACCTTTTCCAAATGGATGTTAAGACTGCATTTCTCAATGGAGATCTAGACGAAGAGATCTATATGGATCAACCAATAGGTTTTGAGGTAAAAGGACAAGAGCGCAAAGTTTGCCGTCTCAAACGTTCTATTTATGGCCTCAAACAAGCGTCTAGACAGTGGAACATTAGATTTCATACCTCAATCATCTCCTTTGGTTTTGAGATGGTTGAAGAAGACCACTGTGTGTATCTAAAACGATCCAAGGAAAATGTTCAGATTCTTTCATTGTATGTTGATGACATTCTCATAGCAGGAAATGACATGGATTCCATTGTCGCCACTAAGAAGTGGTTGTCCGCAAAGTTTGAAATGAAGGACATGGGTGAGGCAAATTATGTGCTAGGAGTGAAAATCATAAGAGACCGTTCAAAAGGACTTCTCGGTTTGTCTCAAGAGACTTACATTAAGAAGATACTTGAACGTTTTCGTATGCATCACTCCAAACCCATAGACACACCAATGGAAAAAGGATGTGTCCTAACCCTTGACCAATGTCCTAAAAATGATGAGGAAAGAAACCAAATGACCAAAGTTCCTTATGCATCTGCGATAGGAAGTCTAATGTACGCTATGTTGTGTACACGGCCAGACATCTGTCATGCAGTTGGTATGGTGAGCCGTTATCAAAGCAATCCTGGACCTGCTCATTGGAAAGCAGTAAAGAGAATTTTTCGATATCTGCAAGGTACCGCTGATCTTGTCTTATGCTACCATGGTGGCGATTTGAGACTTAGAGGTTACAGCGATGCAGATTGGGCCAATGACAGAGATGAACGTAAATCCACCTCTGGTTATGCTTTTATACTTGGAGGTGGAGCTATCTCTTGGTGTAGCAAGAAACAGTCTTGCATAGCCCTATCCACAATGGAGTCGGAATATGTTGCTTGCTCAGCAGCAGTTCAGGAAGCTGTTTGGTTAAGAAGATTCTTGCAACGACTAAACTATACAGCCAAAACTTGTGAGGCAGTACTTGTTTACTCAGATAGTACATCTGCCTTGGCATATGTAAAGGATCCGAAATACCATGGAAAATCCAAACACATAGATGTCAGATATCACTATATCAGACAGAGGGTAGCACAAGGAGAGGTTATATTAAAGCATATCTCAAGTGGCAATATGGTTGCTGATCCTCTCACTAAACCCATTGCTAGAGATGTGTTCCTTTCTCATATTAGGAGTATGGGACTACGAAGGTTTTAATATACCTATTTTTGTAATTGACTTTATTATTAATGCAATGTTAATCGTTTTTTCCATGGTACTTGTTCTAGAATGATTGATATGGTTTTTGCACAAAGATTTGTAACCAGGCTTGAGTCAGCCCACTCACATGGGAGATTCACCTTGGCGCTGAGATAGCGAGCAAGATGAGACATTTGTGTTATGTTCTAAAAAGCTTAGACAACATATTATGACATATATGTATATCTGCGCCCAAGTAGGCAGCAAGATAAAACACTTCTCTAAATGTCGCCTTAGTTGGAGCTAAGATGAGACCTTGAAAAAGGAAAGAGGTCCAGTGTTTCATATTGTACAAGTTTGGTGATATAACCTACCAAAGCAAAGAAAACAATGAGCATTTTATTTAAGATTAAAAGGGTGATGCAACAACTGAACACTGACCACCAACCTCTTCATATCCCCTCTCTCTATACTGCTTCTTTATGAACTCCATTAATTTATTATAAATCCGAGCCCCTTTAGGGAGGAAGAAGCAACTTCCTGGGCTGCAATTGACGAGCGGAAATAATCAAATGAAAATCGTTCACTCTTGGTCACTTAAAAAAATTAAGATATATGAACTCAATACATACCTAACTGGGTCGAAAAAGAAAAGCTCCTGATTTTTACCCAACACTCTGTGGTCATATTTTTTTGCTTCTTCTAGCCTGTGGATATGTTCCTGCAGAAAAAAGGTATGTGTTTGTAAGAAAATCAAGTAATTTATAAGTATAATAATCTGACCATTACAAATTTACATGTTAACTTATGTTAAAGAGGGTATGAAAAGTTCAAGTCCTCGACATCATTGCTTTAATAAAATTACACCAACTTGTATTGTTTGAAACCATTGCACTTCAAACACCACCATTTATTTTCAGTTAATATATCTCACAAACACACCCCAACAGCTAAGAACTATGAAGATAGGTGTCCACTTTCTATCAAATGTCGTGAGAGAACAGAACCACTTCTAACTGTGACATATATACAACTAGAGCCTCAGATTCATGTGCGTGTGTGTGTGTGTGTGTTTTTAAAGTGGTTCATGTTTAACAGATGACATCAAATATTTTCAGTACCAATTCTCCAAGGGATTTGGTTATTTTTATGAGTTAGCCCTGATTTTTCTTTTTATACCCAGAAATCCACCAATCTGTAAAGGGAACAGCTATGCACACTTTTTCTTTTGACATCAATTTGTACAAGGAACTTTAAATTTAACAAACACTCAGAAACACAGCCGTAGTAGCTGATACAAGAAAGAAGATAAGAAAAACCAAAACCGAAGTTATGGAATGTCAAAAACATAATGTCACCTGCAAGCGTTTTTTATCAGGATAAGATATTCCATAAACTCTCTGTAAACTTTCACGATCCTTGTTCCCCCTCCAGTAGGCTGCAGAAGCCTGGGATTGCAAATTCATGAGTTAAATACAGACACTCAATGCATTAATAACAAGATGAAAGAAAATCTTACAAACTACGGCTCTAACATACAAAGAACACATACCTTCAAACATTTAAATGCTTTCACAAATGATGTATTTGGTATATGGGGTCCACGACAAAAGTCAACCAAAGGGCCACATCTATATACAGTTATAGTTTTGTCCGCTGGAAGACCATTGATGATTTCAACCTAAGCAAAAACAAATCTTAAATCAATTTTGAATGCATGCATGAGAAGTAGTTTTAAAAAGAAAATCATTCTATTGATTAGAAACTACACTAAGCACCTTTCCTTACCTTGAATTTATTATCACAGAACATCTCAAGGGCTCGTTCCCTTGATACTTCAATGCGTTCAAAAGGTTGTTTCCCCTGGGGAAATATATTACAACTAACCAGTCAAGGATTCATAACAAGAAATGAAGGAGCAACAGTTTCCTCCATACAACAAGTTTACATGAATTCTATTACAAGAAAACAAACAACACCTTAACAGCCTTCTCTGTCCATGATTCGATTTGCTTAAAGTGTTCATCATTCAAGCCAAAATCTCCATAAAATGCATCATAGTAGAAACCCTGCGATTGAATTCAATCATTCCATAAGGGAACCAAATGAGAAACTACAAAAACACATAGCAAAAACCGCGAAATATATTTTAGAAGACCATAAAAAGAAAACATCTTCTCAAAACTGGGATCACAAAGCTTGAACTGTCCTAGTAGTTGAATTGCACGCGAAGGAAACCACATACGCAAACAAAATTCCAGGCAACACATTGATCAACCAAAGAAGGGGACAAAATATATAGAAAACATATAAAATATTACATTTAAATTAACAACTATTATTTAAAAACCTCTTTGCTAGTGGCACACATATCGTGTCTTGTTTCAATTCTGGCACATGGACCGATGCAGAGTTTGCATCCATACTCCACCTCAAGTGCCTGCACGGTATGGAAACTTGTTATGCATCCGATCCAAATCAAATCAATACAGTAAACCAAAACCAAACCAAA